CGACGAGGAAGCGCCGCAACGAAACCCCACCAAGTACACGGAGAATGTAGACAAGCAGGCCATGGTATCCAAGAGTCTCATCAACACATTCTTCAAGGACAGTGTCCAGCGCGCTCGCGACCGAAACCAAAGGTGGGATTTCCGGACGTTTAGCTGAGCACTACTGACCTTGCCACAGAGCTCTCGAACTCGATGCCCTTATGAAAGAGACGTCCATCTCCGACAGCCGAAAACGGTCCAAGGAGGACAGCATGCGCCGTGCCGAAGTCGAATACCTGCGGTTCCTGCGCACAAAGGAGAAGCCCGAAAACTTCTCGACACTGAAGATTATCGGCAAGGGTGCCTTCGGAGAGGTCAAGCTGGTGCAACGGCGCAACGACGGCAAGATCTACGCGCTCAAGTCGCTTGTGAAGCAGGAGATGGTAGGCAGTCCTCGTTCGATACCCATCTTTGGCATTCATCTCACACGCCACAGTTCAAGAAAGACCAGTTGGCCCACGTACGGTCAGAACGTGACATTCTCGCCGAATCCGACAGTCCATGGGTTGTCAAGCTGCACACGACCTTCCAGGACAACACTTTCCTTTACATGCTTATGGAGTTTTTGCCAGGTGGTGACTTGATGACGATGCTGATAAAGTATGAAATCTTCACCGAGGACATTACGCGATTCTACATGGCCGAGATTACGCTTGCGATAGAGGCTGTTCACAAGCTTGGTTTCATTCATCGGTATGTGTTTAGTAGTCGCGACAAGACGAGAATCTAACTCTCCCAGTGACATCAAGCCTGACAATATCCTTCTCGACCGAGGCGGCCACATCAAGTTGACAGATTTCGGTCTGTCGACAGGTTTCCACAAGGAGCACGACGCCAACTACTACAAGAAGCTGCTCGCTGGCGGCGCACACAAGTCGAACCGCGACAACCGACAATCAATGAACCTAGACCAGATCCAACTGACTGTCAGCAACCGTACCCAAATCAACACATGGCGTAAGTCTCGTCGACAGCTCGCCTACTCGACCGTCGGTACACCCGACTACATCGCGCCGGAGATCTTCAGCGGTCAAGGTTACGACTACAGCTGTGATTGGTGGTCGGTAGGCACAATCATGTTCGAGTGTCTGATCGGCTGGCCGCCGTTCTGCGCTGAGGAGCCACACGACACGTACCGCAAGATTGTCGACTGGCCGCGTAACCTGCACTTCCCTCCCGACCAGCAACTCGGCGCGGAAGCTGAGGACTTTGTCCGACGGTAAGCGCCTCTATCCCACACGATCTTCCCAATCATGCCACTAACTAACATTTGTTCAGGCTCATCTGTGACGCCGAACACCGCCTCGGTCGCATCGGCGGCGCCAACGAAATCAAACAGCACCCCTTCTTCCGCGGCGTCTCTTGGGACGGTCTCCGCCGTATCCGCGCCCCCTTCGAACCCAAACTGCAGTCCAACATTGATACTCAATACTTCCCCATCGATGAAATTGACCAGAATGATACCTCGGCTGCTCACAGGGCGCAGGCCGCACAGGCAAACGAAGACGAGTATGCAACGAGCCTGCCCTTTATCGGGTACACGTATAAGCGCTTTGACGCGTTCCGTGGGTCGTAGATTGGTATTTTGCTGGAAGGGTTGATGAAGGAAGGGAGGTGTTAAGGGAGGAGTGGTCGGGATTTCTGGGGTCGAGAACTTTCGCTTTCTGTCTGTCTGTCTCGAAGCCGTTCCCTTTTGATAGCATGAAGCCTGAATGGGAAGGAAAGTGTCCTGGCTGGCACCACTGTCACATCATATCATAACCATATACTACATAAATCTTTGCGCACAGCGCGCGAATGGAGTAATGGGTTGTCATGCTCTTTCGATTCTCTGCCTTGTTGAAATTGGAGGTCACAATAGAAGAAAGGGATGGATGACGTGCAAGGATTGGTACCATCAGTGGCTGATGTGCTTGTGATGGGTGAAGTCTGGGAATTGCTGCAATTATCTCCATATGGCATGCAAACTTGCGGCCAGATATCCAAATTGAAACTCCTGTACTAATGCTTCTGAAATGCCAAATTGACATATCTCCTCTCGCCCATTTTGCTCTGTGTGCAAATGTCGCTGTCATGTGTGAAAAGTTCCATCGCTGTTTCTCCTACTCCCGCATACGCCTGTTATCCGTGCAGAGATATCGCCAGACTTTTCTCCTGTCACCGCTTCGCCGTCCCGCCGTGTGGTGTTGTTTCGTTTGAGGTATTGGGGGAGTTGCGCGTTCATCGGGCTTCGAATTGGACCATACTGGATGTTATGTTAGTGAAATTGTTCGTGTAAGATCTGCTATCTGGCTGTCGTCTTTGTGCTGTAGCGCGATCGACGCATTCTTGCCTCTTCTTCCTCGCTGTTCACTCTCCGTATGCGCTGAAACGCACGCGTCCGCTCTCTCGCCCTCTCTTCTTCCCAAATTCACGCGCCTGCCGTACCCTCCTCCCTCCCCCGGTCCCTGCCTCCCAGAACAAAAGCTTCACTTACCGGTTAGTCCTCTGCTTGTAAAGCACACGATGCCCACAGTTCCTGCACCGAATCGGCTCTCCGCGCTTCAGCGGGACGTCCATGTCGCAGTCGCCGCACTTGTAGTGGACAGTGCGCGCGGTTGCGTCGATTTGGCTGACGGTTGCTGGGTCCGTGGTTTGCTGGGGGTTGTAGGCGGTGGACATTTTGGCGGTGGTGTTGGTGCGTGAGATTTGGTTGCGAGAGGGGGGGTGGACGGTGAGGTGCGTGGTGTGTGTGACGGCGGGTGAAGTTGGGGTGTGGTGTGAGGGTTGGAGGCAGAAATGTTTAGGTTGCGATGATGGTTTGCGCCGAAAACCGAGGGTCGCGGTGGCACGTGCTGCGGGTTTATCGATAGGGTATCTGGGACTCAGGCAAAAGCGTCTCTGCTTTTTCATCGATGCAACTTCACCGGTGCAGTATTTTTCTCCAGCCGGTCATGCTTTATGCCCAGATTATATTCACTCATTCTTATCAGTCTCCGTCACTATTAGGAAGACAGTGTCATCTCTACCGACGCTCTCGACACAGGCAACTAACGTCCATGACGCTGCGAATCCTCGCAACAAGCACGCGCCCGGGAGATAACCTGTACATTCAATCTTAGCAACAACGCGCACAGATCGAGGCGACGAGAAGGCGACCAGTCTCAATATCCAGAAGTCTCTCTACAGTATGGTAGGCCGCCCCGTATGTGGCACGGTTCGGTCCTTCTCAAGCTTGGTCTTGCGCGCCCCTACAACTCGATGGCATACCACACTTCAGCCCCTTCCTCGATCCCGACCCTTGTCGGATGTGTCCAATCAGACTTTGGATCAGCGATAATACTGCAAGATGTGCGCATGGAAGGTATAGTATGTCGCACGAGGCTGTGGTTACCCCGCCTCGATTCTATGGCTACTTAGGTCTGCCACGCCTCCTTCGTGCAGGCATGACATAGTGTCTCGTCGCTTTGCCCGCAACAACACAGCACTCTCGGCTGGTATCTCTTGAGGGACGGTCCCTTGGTAGATACTTCGACGATTATTCACCACCTCGCCTTACGCTTCACTGGTGCTATGCATCAAACCCCTCGGCGTCATGTCTCATATCATCCCTAGCGTGGCGAAACTGAGACCTGAAATCCGTCTCGCCGAAGCGGTGTCTCAATTCGAAGCCAATCTGTCTATGGTTGAGAAGGCCAGTTTCCGCACAGATCGTTCGAAAGCGCTCGAATCGCCTCCTGGCCCCAGCAGTGTCATGCGGATCACTGCGGATATTGACAGAGCTCAAAAGGCTGGCAGTCGATGTTTTGGACCACGGTTTACGAATTTCCTCCATGGCGTTCAACAGTTCGCTGCGCTTGGTGACGTGATTATTGGAGGGTCTCAAAACATTATCGCATGTGGTGTATGGTCGCTAGTCCGCATGTCGCTGCTGGTGAGTGTGTTAATCTCATTCGAGTTCGGTCAACCGGAGCAAGAAGCGTTGAAAGGAGTGAGACGAAGTTGCTGACTATGGACAGGCGTTGGTCAACTCCTCGTCATATTTAGAGAGGCTTTCGCTGATCTTCATGGATGTTGGTCGCTCAGCTCCACGATACCAGGCGTTGGGACTACTTTACCCCCGGTCAAAACTCCTCCAGTCCCAGATCAGCGAATACTTCATCGTGGTAGTGCACCTCTGCAATCGGATAATGAAGTTCGCCCGGAAGTCAGCCTTCTCAAAGCTAGGCTCTACAGTGAACGACTCGGACGTGAGAGAATTGCAAGCTGAGCTCAACATTTGGGCAAAGTCAATAAAAGAGGAAGTGGATCTTTTGCTGGCTCAAAAAATCGATATGGAAGTTCAGTCTAGTTCAGCGTTTAGAGCTCTTTCAACACGACATGCAAAGGCAGCCGAACATCAACAGAAACTGGCAGAAAGGCTCCGCATCCTCGATGTGTTCTCAACACATGATTATGAGACTCCTTGGAGGCAAATCCGTAAAACCGGGACGACTACCAGTTTTCTGAAAACCACCGACTACCATCGATGGAGAGATTACAAAGGGTCAGCTACGCTTATCTACAAAGGCAAGATTGGTTGTGGTAAGACTGTCATGATGGCAAGTATAGTCAACGACCTCTTTGCTCATGTCGAAGGCACTGATGCAGTGGTCGCTTATCTTTTCTGCGAACACCAATCATGGGTCACCGCGAAACCGAACGTAGTGCTTGGCACACTCTCGCGACAGATCCTCGAGACTGTACCGGACCTAACTACTCTGGAACCCCAACACAAAAACAAATTTCGTTTGCAAGATTTCACGATCGTGCTACAGAAGATCATTCCGAGGTCTACACACATCTGGTTGGTGCTTGACGGGCTAGACAACTGCAAACAAGAGCAGAGGAACCAAATATTAGGCAGTCTTGTTGAACTCCAATCAGCTCGGGATGTGCATTTATGTGCATCATTCCGTCGGGAAGCTCGAGTTTCAGCAGAAATGCCGATATTCCGCAATGTTATCATTCATCCACAGCCCGACAACGCCGAAGACATTGAGGCGTTTATCGACGCTGAATTGGAACGTTGTCTGACAAACCGCAAGCTGGTTCTAGGGGACCCTGCGCTTATATTCGATATACGGGACGCCTTGTTCAAGGGCTCGCAGGGGATGTTTCTCTGGGCAACACTGCAAGTCCAGTCATTGTGCTCGATGAAGACCGACAGAGAAATCCGCGAAGCACTCTCTAATTTACCTCGCGATCTCATGCAGCTCTACGATCAAATACTGGATCAGCTGCAGCAAACTGGCCGGTCGTATCAAACAGAGATACTCAAACTCGTTACAGCGGCGATGCGACCACTCACGGTAATGGAACTACAAGAAGCCCTAAGCGTCACACCCGGTGATACAACCTGGGACCCCTCGAAGCTGCTTAACAGCGTGGATTCGGCACTAGCGACTTGCGGTTGTCTCCTTACCGTCGACGAAGAAGACTTTACGATACGTACAGTGCACTCGAGCGTTGATCAGTACCTCATACTAGGCAATATAGAGGGTCGACGGGGCGGTGTCCATTTCAATATTAGGGAGGCTGCAACGCTCTTGTCATCGATAATGGTGACCTACCTCGGCTATGGCCTGTTTGGTACGGAGCTATCAAGCCCCCTTCCTACGATGCAGTTGGGATCAGCGCCTTCCCATATCATCAGCTCAACACTGAACACTTCCAAGTCCGTCCAGGGTGTTGCCTTGAAGTTTCTGAAATCCATGAAGCAGTCGCAATTCGATGCAGCGAAAACCTTCGCCGAGGGTCTCACGTTGCAGTCAAAAGTCAGCACTCATCGATTCCCCTTCCAGTACTTCGCGAAGCAGGCTTTGCCGTCATATCTATCTAAACTCCCAGTTCTGTCCTGCAACACCTCCGAAAACTTCTTCCGGATCTTTAAACAAGGCACGATACGCCTAAGTTCTGTAAGGGAGGTAGTGGGAATAACCTGGGCTGCGCTCCAACCCCCTGGAAATACTGATATAACCGATCTTCTCAATAACTTGAGCCTCGAGGAAGAGTTGGGAGGCAAGCTGGCAATCGATATGTACCTGTTGCTTCCCAACGTGCTCCTCCAAGCGATCGAGCTCGGTCTTACAGATCCAATCAAGTACCTACTAGATATGTACCGCCCCCTCTTTCAGGACTACCCCGCCGCGGTAGAAGGGATTCAAGGCAACGTTCCGAAGGTACTAAGAGATCTTTGCAAGTATCACTTCTTCCCGGGGTGTACAACGCAACCAACACCCCAAGAGCTTCGACACGTACTAATTGGGTCCAAACAAAAACCATTGACATTTGCTATACAAAATCGCAACCTACGTGTATCATTAGCATTCATCGAACATGACTTAATTGAGCTTGTTGATGAAGCGCTTGAGGAAAACGGGGCAATTGATTGGGCTGCAAAGCTTGAAACTGTGGGGATTTTGGACGCGATGTTGTGCTCGGAAAAGTTTGCGCACGTTTCGGCAGAAGATTCGCGTGAGCTCATTCAGAGGCTCCATGCGAATAAGATATCTCGAGAGACAATGTTTCGCGTTTATAATCGGCAGCAGCAAAGAGCGGGGCCACGCAATGAGATGTTTACGTCCCTTTTCATGTCAACATGGGATGCTTAGCAGCGATTCTGCGCATTTTAGCATTTACGATGGCATTTCTTCTACTAGAAGGAGCATGCTCTTACAGACTTCTGTTCATATGCATTAAGCGGCTTTCATGAGAAGAACGCGAGAGCCTCTATTACCAGCGGTGACTACGATTTGAGTTGCATTGCACAAACCACAATGTAACGTTTGTACACGCAGAAGCCTCAAGCATTATACGATCTAGCAGCTTGACAGCTTTTGATGTTGTGTACGCAGTCGTATGCGACATATTGAAACCAACCCTGGTGCCGCTGTGTACCTTGTTTCCAACTCATCATTGCTAACCACAAACCCGTACAGATGCGAAACTTATTACCGGTAGTTCCGCTACAGATTTCTTGATCATCTGGCAATAAGCCGCTGCTTCATCGTGTCTTACGTCAATGCGTTTCCTCAGTCACCTTCACCTCTACGAGCGGTCAGTTGTCACCTTCACCTCCACAAGCGGTTAGCCGTCATCTCGGCTTTCAGAGATAACTACAGGCTCGACGCCCAACCTTCTCCTCTACACTTTCGACTCGCTCGTTGCCTTCGCTCGCCATGGCGCCAAGTTCATCAACAGCCTCGCTTCTAGACTCGCTCAAGGTCATCGAAATCCTTAAGGGCCTGATCCTTGGTACCAGCCCCTAGCTCTTCTACGATGCGCCTTCACTGACATACCATGTAGACCAAGTCCGCGCTGTTCACGGTCGCTCGTACCCCACTTCCCACTACACCTTCTCAGTGACGACCTCTTACCGAAAGGCGCCTGCCCAATGCGCGTCATTCGAGCTTGGCGCACACGCAATAGGAAATACTAAATTGAGAGTGAAGGTGACTCCGAGAAAACTGTCTTGGCGCGAACATATTTGACAGCGAATATTTTCCCCTCTTAGGCTTCTACACTCAACTCCACATCTTCCCGCAGCACCAGCAAAGATGACTCCAGAACAAGAGAAGCAGGCCCAGGCGCAGTACGAAGAGAACCTCAAAGCCGCCATCATCTGTATGTACTAGCACTGTCACCTCCGTTTACATCGCTAACATATTACAAAGCCCACGCCCGCGTTATCTTTGGCCTCGAGGACTCCTTGACCGACGTCGTCAGTAGCGAGGTTCCACAAGGCTTCGTCTCCCACGTCATCCACTATCCCAAGATAAAGTCGTACCGGGGCGGGTTCAAGAGACTTTTGTCTTCTAAAACATGCTCCGGGGTATCAGAAACCTACGAAAACCTACTGCAGTTTCTTCGTTCTAGGATGGCCGAGTACTTAGGTAATTAGGGGAGAGTGTGAAGATATAAGGACTGGGGGCTAAGAGCGAGTAGAGGCGCAAAAGGACAAGGACAGCAGCGGGCAGTGAACTGTGATGGACTCAGCGACTGGGGCTTATGGCTGCCATGGACCGTCAACCTAGGAAAAAGTCGACTAGGTCTGCAGCCTACATCGTCTTGGAAACATGCGAAGTAGGTGGCTTAAATTCGATGTAGGCTCTAGGCCTGTTTGGTTTTTTTCTTGTTTGAGGGTGCAAGGGTCATTAAGATCTTAGAAATGTCTGCTAACGCAGTCATTTGGTCTCGTTCTCTGCTCTAACGAAAAGGCTTTTGCAGGATCTGTCTGCGATTTGCGATTTGCGGTCACAACAGTAGAGCTCGGAAGACAGGAAAGAGGCCATATCAAGTAAAGGTGAAGTCGAGAGCGCAAAGAGTCTTGGCGTAGTAGCTTAAGATAAATTCTCTACTTTCTGCTCTCTGTTCTCTTAGTAGCACAGTCTTTCCTCGTACCCCCCAATCCAATATCTCACGCGACAAGATCCAACATGTCTTCCCCCATCATAGAGCAAGAGGCGTTCAAAGCAAGCATTCTGTGTACGTTTCATGTAAGTATCACTCATTTAGACGTGACTGACTCGCCCACAGCCCATGTCCGCGCCATCCACGGTCCAAAATACCCTAGGGGCACTGTATTCGACGTCGTTACCGGATGGGATGGTGAAGAATCTTTGCCCTTCGCCTGCTATGTCGTCGTTTACCCTGAGACTAAACCCTTCAAGGCAGGCGAAGCCGTGTCCGCCAATTGGTCCCCAATTATGGCATCGGATCCTGCGGACACTGTGATCGAAGCCTACCAGCATGTCCTCAACGAACTGCGGATTAAGATGAATAGAGTCATGGGCAAGTGAGAAAGTAAGGATCATTATCACAACTGTGTGCTGACGAAATTCAGTTGAGGCATACATGAAGAAAGCTAGCAAGTGATTCGCGAGAGACTTGCCGACACTACCTAGGTAGACTGACCTCTTGGACCTATCAACGGGAGGGATGGGGTGTCCGGTTTGCTCATCAGCAGTTATGCAAAGCTAGGGAACGGTTTTAGCTTAGCGCATACATGATATTTGCATCAAAGTGAAGGTGAAGGTGGAATTGGATGTCAGCTCTTGGCGCATAAATAGCTACCACAAATCCATCTTCTGCTTTTCACTACCCTACTCTCACACTCAACTCCAAAAACCCACCCACGCCAGCGAAAATGGGAGACTACAGTCAAGTGATGCACGAAGAGGCGCTTGTAGCGCGCATTCTATGTTCGTCAAAACAAACCTCACGTTGCTCTACCACACAGCTAACCTATCTCAAAGCCCAGGCCCGCGCTATCTACGGCCCCAAGTACCCCCATGGATCCACCTTCGATGTCATCTACAGCGGCGATATATTAGCAGGCAATGACCTTGTCGCATGGCTCATCGTTTACCCGATGCCAGACAATGCTGCCTTCAAGACTGGAAAAGTCGTATCGAACGAGTGGACTCCAGTTCTAAAGTCGCGGCGGATATCCAAAAAAGGAACTGGCTCCACCCTTCAGCGAGAATATCAAGAGCTTCTGGGGAAGCTGCGTATCATAATGGTCGAGACTATGGTTTCCATGGGTAAGGAGAAGAATGCGATGATTTTAGGAAAATATTCGCTGACAGACGGCAGAGAAAGTAGAGGAGACAGAGAAGTTGGAGAAGGACAACATCGGCACTGACAAGTGATCGGCGCCGAACTCAGCGGCTTGCGGTCAAGCTGTCAGTCGACTGATAGAAGGATACATGCAGTGAGTCTCTTGGCTGGCAATGATAGATAGTAAGGAAGCGGGTTACCGCCCTGGCAGATAAGAATTCGGTATGGTCAGGATGAGGGTGAAGCTGAAATCTATGTTAGCGCCTCGGCCCATATGTATTCTGTGATACACCCTTTAAGCTTCCAAGGTTGATTGTCTGCTCCTCGCTCTGACTCTCTCATACTCCCACACTAAGATGAAGCCCCTGCGCGACAGCAGCCGGAATGAGTGACAACTTCGAGAAAACCGGCGGCCAGGATCAATTCGAAGAGACACTCAAAGCGGCATACATATTGAGTCCTGCAGGAATACTTTGGCTAGATGTGGGCACTGGTGTCGCATTTCTGCGCACTTGTCGTTGCTAAATGTGGACCATCCGAGTACCGGCGAAGAAGGTGGGCCTGAGATCGCGTCTTGTGCAGTACCATGGTACCTAGATAGACAAGAAACTTTTCGCGCAACATCCAAGCCCTCAAAATCCTACTCCAACAACACATCACCACCAACACAACTAGTCATTCTGAAAAAATGGTGCTGCAAACGACGCCTAGGGCCTGGGCCAATTCCGACTCCGCTATACGGGAGAAAGAGATGAAGGAACAAATCCTGTGTACGTCGCTACTACTTACCACTTACACCGTACACTTTAATAACTTACAATCAACATGTAGCACAGGCCCGTGCCGTATGTTCTCAAAGTTTCCCATATGGCTCAGGTTTCGATATCGTTCATGGCACGGCCGAAACTCACCTCATCGCTTATGCCCCGTTTGGCACGTATCCGGAAAAGGACTGGGAGATTGTTCTTTCGGTCGATAACGATAAGAGCTTTTTGTGCGGTTTGAACGCTCTCATGGTAGAACTTACAAAGCGGTTGGGTGACAAGATTGGTAAGCACGGTGGCCGAAGACGAAAAGCGCAAGAACTGACTGAGCGGTCCTGTTACAGAGCAGAAGAGAAAGGGTCGTGTTCAAGTACCTGCGCAGGTTCGGGAGCGTCGTGAGGACAGAGAGGCTAGAGAGGCTAGGGAGGCTGAGAACGCGCGAAGACTTCTCTGATTCATTCGACGGCGGAATCTTTATGTGGAAGACGATCCTGCTTGTTGAGCCTTTGTCACTGTCGGAGCGCGTATATATTTGGCGTGGGAGCTGGGATATTCGAGGTGAAGGTGGACTCAGCATTGCGCCTTCCCAATGCGTTAGAAAAGAAACTTTCGCGCAACAGCTCCCAGTCTTCTACCACCCACAGCCGCAAATCTACTAAGCTAGAGACAGCTGATGCGCAATGTGCTTTGTGGCACATCTTCAAAGATTTGGCTCGTTGTTAGTAGGATATGTGTTCAGGTCATCGAGTCGCGGTGGTTTGAAGCCGCGAACTAGCCTTTGCGATCCGCTAACACGGTGTTACCCTTACATAGCAGGATAGAGACAGCCATGAACTTGAACTTGCGGCAAATTTTGTAGTGTGGTTTCAAATCAAGTTAGCTTTTGGAAACGTCAAACATTTGTGAAAACAGCGAAGGCGATTGTGAGCAGGAAAATGCTTGCCTCCGCGCATGGAGTATATAAGACGATTCTCCCACCATTTCATCTCGACTTTCTCTCTTCTACAATCTAATTCAGAACATCAGCGCAGGAAAGTCAAAATGGTGTCCAGTCAAGCAGAGTTCGAACAGGCGATCATATCGCGTATCATTTGTGAGTATGGAGAGTTCGTGTTACTCTATCTATCCAAATAACATCTGCGACAGCGCACGCCCGCGCATTCTACGGCCCAAATTACCACAAAGACTCCGAGTTCGACGTCATCACTTCCACTGCGCCGGCCAGCGAATACGACGCAGGCTACGTGGCTTGGGTCATCGTCTACCCAGGACAAACTGCCTCGGAAAACGCGGAGTGGATGAATGTTCTACGAACCGAATCCAAGATCAACGTGAACGATACATATGTAGCACTTCTCGACAATCTGCGTGGAAGTATGGCTCAGTTCACGGGTTAGTCAACACGAACATAAAAGAGATCCATTGGCTGACAGAACAATCCAGACAATAAGCCCGTGACTGCCCCGGAGGTATGTAAATAGCCTCTTACAGAGATCACTGTGACTGCAATGGAGCCCATTAGACTTGCTATTGGGTGGCACGAGTTTGAGACGACGAATTAGGCTTGTCAGCCCTTGAGCTCTACTGTAAGATCCTCGCAGCACATAAAGGGATAGATGTAATTATGGATCTCGAGACATCAATGAAAGATATGGGGTAAAATGGAATACTTTCGCAACCGTGTTTCTACTACCTGCTAGCCCCTATATCGCCCAGAAGAATCATGAAATGCACGTTACATGCATCGCTCAAATGCTGGCACAGAGGTTCGGTTGGTTGCAAAGACTAACCGGAGTGTGGTACACATGAAGGCTTGGAAGTGCATCTGCAAGCTTGAGACGGACGACATCGGCACTGACAAGTGATTAGATACGCATTAGGCAGGGTGAGATTGAAGGTAAAGGTGGGATGTCGATTTGGGCCGCAACTCACATGCAGGTATGTTACTATAAATCCTTTGCTTTTGACTTTGTGCTTCCTCCATCCTAGACTCCAAAAGCTTTTATCTAAATAGGAACTCGCAGCCGACAACAGCTAACATGGAGGCCTTCAACATGAACAACTACACCGAACAAGAACAATCTGAAGAGTCACTCAAAGCTACCATACTGTGTGAGTTTGTTTTGACTACCGCCCACTTCATATCTGACATTCCGCATAGCCCATGCATCCGCAGTCTACGGCCCACAAGAACGTAAGGGCCATAAGTTCGACGTCATTACTGGGACAAGGGTCACCAACGACATGGTTACAGTGTATACAGCTTGCTTCATCGTCTACCCGTACATCGGACGCTCGGATTGGGACCCTCTCCTACAGTCACAAGAGGGAGCTACTGTGGCGATGGTCTATGGAGCGCTCATCTCTAAATTACGTAACAGGGTCACCGATATCATGGGTCAGTGAATGAACAAGACTCCAGCTACACGAGATCAGCTCACTGACGATTCTTAGAACGCAAGGACAAGTCTGACATGGAGATTGCGGCGTGTTGCGTTATGTAGTCAGCCTGATGGAATGGTTGCCAAAATACGGCTTTAGTGGAGATATTCAGATTGTCTATTGGCGATCATGGGTGGCCATGAGCCGGTCTCAACACGTTGACAGTGTATCCGCGGTACATCGAAGGATAGAGATGGTCATGATCATAAACCTCGCGATACTAGCAGAGGTTCAAAAGTAGAGAAATGGATTTACTTTCGTAAACATGATGCCCTGTGATTCAATAACAGTATAGCTCGGCGAAAGATGCAAACTTTGATGGGTGAAGAGAGAGGAAACCTCTTTGTAGCAGCATCAAGATGACTATGAACTACATTGTCCTTACGAAAAGCCTGAGTGAGTCTGAGTGAGTTTCACTTTCGCAAATGCGAATTGCTCACCACGAAAAGTGAAAGTGAAGGTGAGATCGAAAGTTTTCGTCTCCGCGCACAAAAGATTAACGCAGCTTCGACCTTTTACTCTTTACTTCCTACTCTCTACACCTACACTCTGAGCACCTTTTCGACGACAACGACGACGATGGCCTCCATCTACGACAAGCTGGCTCAAGCCAAGTACGAAGAGAAGCTCAAAGCTACCATCCTCAGTGAGTCACAATCGATGTACTGCGCCACTTCGTAGCTAATCTATCAACAGCCCTTACAAAAGGCGTGTGTGGTGAGCTTGAGCCCCCGGGCACGACTTGGGACGTCGTCACCGGCCTCGTCGACTCTGACGATAAGATCAACATGGTCGCCTGGGTTATCTCCTACTGTGGAGACGCTGACCGTGGCCTGAAACTACACTCTCTTCTCGAGTCTAAGCAGTGCGCTAGCATAGAGGATGCGTATCAGTCACTGATGCGGGCCCTGCGTGTCTTGATGACTGGACACATCGGTTAGCCGGCAATGAGATCCTCTCAAAGACAGGACTTGCTAACTATGTAAAGGAACTGCAGAAAGGGGCTACCTGAGGTTGGCGGAGGACATCGAAGGGGGCTGATCAAATCAAAGTACCGGTGGAAGTCATGGCTCCGATATACGTATATACACAAAGGAAAAGTTAAAGAGATATGCAGCCTACATCGGGATGAAAATATACAAAGTAGATCATGCGACGTTAACGTCGGCTCCAGGGTTGTTCATGTTTCTCTTGAATCTGCTGAATAACGTGAGAACATCACAAAGAAACACTGGGTCGAAGACGCGGCCTTCGTGGCGCTCTGGTACACCCACTGTGGCGAAGTCCGTAAGAGCCGCGAATACGAGAAGAGAGAGAATACGAGAAAGAGAAGCAACACGAGAAAACGAAAGTTAAACAAATCTCAACGAGGTATAAATATGTCAATATCGTACTCATTTCAAGTCATCTCATCAAACACTCGTTCGTTCCTTCCTTCCGTCGCTCCAGTGTCATCATGTTACGATACCTCACCCTCGCATCACCCGCCCTCGCAACCGCAGCCGCAACACCACCACCACCATTCTGCCGCACAACCCCCTCCGACGCATCCTGGCCCACACCCCCAGAATGGTCATCCCTAAACACCACAATCCATGGATCCCTAATCCGCACCGTCCCCGTCGCAGCATCGTGCTGGCCCTCCACCAACACCACCTTCGCCTCCCCTCTCTCCTGCCAAGAAGTCAACGACAACTGGTCGAACGGGACCTGGCATTCGCAACAGCCAGAGTCGATCGACTACCAGCTCTATGCGAATAACTCTTGTTTGCCAGATGAAGTGGGGAGTTGGTCGGAGAAGCAGGGGTGTACGATTGGGGGGTTGCCGCAGTATATTGTTAATGCGACGGAGGAGGTTGATGTGGCGGCTGCGATGAAGTGGGCTGCGGAGAGGAATGTGAGAATTGTGGTTAAGGGGACGGGTCACGATCTTAATGGACGGTACGTTTTTCTTGTCTTGAATATGTTGATGGGAGGAAGCTGACATTACCTTTATAGATCAAGCGGCGCTTTCTCACTGTCAATTTGGACGCGCAACTTCCGCCACCTGACTCGCGACACAGCCTGGCGTATCGCCAACAGCTCTTCCCCACCCGAAGACGTCTTCATCGTTGGTAGCGGCCAGCAATGGGGTAACGTCCTGTCCTTTGCAACAAGTCAGGACCGAGTTGTGACAACAGGCCAGGACCCGAGCGTTGGCCTGGGTGGTTACATTCAAGGTGGTGGCCACGGTCCTTTAGCCTCGACATACGGTCTGGCATCAAGCCAGGTTCTCCAAATGACCGTTATTACCACCACCGGACATGTGCTTGTCGCCAACGAAGTCCAGAACCAAGATCTCTTCTGGGCACTGCGCGGTGGTGGTGCAGGACAATATGGCGTCGTCACCGAGTACGTGATCAAGCACTACCCAGTTCCCCGTAACGTCGTCATGGCAAGTGTTCAGATCAAGCCCAAAGGTAGCACGAATGCCAGTATGGAAGCGTCGTGGTCGGCAGTAGCCAGCTGGCTCAGTGCGCTACCCGACCTCATGGACGCCGGACTTGCAGGCGCTGCAACCGTAGCAGTAGGAAGTACGGCACCGAAATTCTTCCCCGATATCGACGTTTCGAAAGGACCGTTCACCGGTATTGGTCTCAACCAAGTCTTCTGGGCTTTCAACACCACGCCCGCTGCTGTCGAAGCGCTCGTCCAACCCATCTTGACAAAATTGTCAGAATCGAACACCAACACCAACACCACAAACACCACCCTCATCACAACAACCCTCTCAACCTCAACCCACCCCACCTACCCCTCCTTCTTCACCACCATCTCCGGCGACAACGTCGCGGGCGGCGAATCCCTCACCTCATCCCGTCTCCTCGGCCGCGCCGAACTCATCCACACTCCCCACTCGCAAGTCATCTCATATTTGAAAACCGCAATGGCAAGTCAAAACACCACAGACCCAGGAAACTACGCCACCATCGGCCTCTCAGGCGGGCCCGGCGTGCACTCCACGCCCTCGCAACACTGGGGCGCCTTACACCCCAGCTGGCGCACCGCGTACCTTCATTTCATCGCCACAGGCGCGACAATCAACTCTAAAGCTGCAGGCTCTGCGAAGCGCGCGTTGAGCATAGGAGCGGCGTGGCACAACGCTGTCAAAGAGCCGATGTGGGAGGAGTGGGCGCCGGGGTCGGGCGCATATATGAACGAGGCGAATCCGTTTGTTGAGGGTTTCCAGAAGGTGTTTTATGGGGATGGGTATGAGAGGTTAGTCGAGGTGAAGAGGAAGTATGATCCGAGTGGGAGTTTGTTTGTGCTTGCGGGGGTGGGGACGGAGGGGTGGGAGTATGATCTTGATAGTGGGAGGTTGTGTAGGGTTTAGCAAGGGGGCGGTTGGTGGGGTCGTGGAGTATTGTGAAGTTGGTAGATTGTATGCGCCCTGGCTGTGATATTGAATGAATAGTGCACATTGGTTGCTTCATGGCCAGTGACAATATAGCAGGTCCATGTGGCACCGTTGACAGTATCCGGCTTTCACGTGTTGTGTTACGCGTCTGAAGGAAGACAGTGGGTCATAGTTGGCATTACAGTGGGGCGTATCCCTTCAAGGCGGTCTGTGACAGGAGGTCAGCTATTGTGGGAGAAAGCAACACAGTTTGGAGGAGGCGCGGTCCTTGGAGAGATAAAGAGTTTCGTGAAATGTGACTGAATTAATCGTGTCAATTGGGTACTGTAGATAGCTCATCATGCTATGATCCTATTTTCCCTTCCGCCGCTCCCGTCGTAGTATGAGCCAGTTTGATATGGCGCCCGGCGTCCTTTTGTAACCCAGAAGGGAGTCTCGTATATCGATCTCGTGTGTCGTACGTGATTCGTTTACTGGCCGACCTTCTTGGTCTCCTCCTGCAGCTCCTTGATCTGCTGCTTGGTGTCCTTGCCGGTCTCGGAACGATCCGCCTTGATCTATACTCTCCGTTAGCCAATGCCCTCACCACCATGTTCTTCCATCTTCCTGATAAGGTAGATCCAACTTACAGCGCTCTCGCTGTCACTGGCAAGCTGCTCCTCCCAGTGTTGCTTGCCGTCCTTCTTCTTGTTGAGCTGCTCCTGCTTCTTCTTCTCGACCTCCTCGGCGCGGTTCTCAGAGTCTGTTCGCTCATGTCAGCTCGGTTCCTTCCCGTTGTAAGATATTGGCACGCATTCAATGCTGTGATTGTTGGCGCTAAGCCGAGGTTGGCGGTGCGGACGTACGGAGAGCCGACTCCTTGCCAGCGGTGCGGGCTATTGACTGGGAGAAAGCAGCACGCTGGGCAAAGGCAAAGGGAGCGCGACGGGTCGCGAAGGCACGGATAGCGGACATGGCTGGTTTCGGGGGTGTTTATGTGGAGGGAAGTTTGCGGGGTTTCGGCGGTATAGCTCGGGACTTCTAGCTTTGGGTATGTTTCTGTGTGTTCGTGTAGCTTGACAGGAGGAAAGAAGGTCAATTGAGTCGATGGAGTATCTTAGTTGTATAGAAAGAGCTTGCAAACTTGGCAGATGGACGCTTCAGAAGGAAAGGTTGGTATGCTGGAGAAAACACACGTTCCTCGGTTAGTGGACGTGACTAGCTCCAGCACACGACGTCATACTTTCCCCGGCCGGCAATCACCATTACGAACATTGGCCGATTCCTGTCAGCCACTCGACGGAGCCTCATTAGTCATGCCCTTGCGACAACTTACTCAGGTCTAGATCTGCAGAGGCTCTTGTGGATATGCAGGCCGCCCAATTCCAGCATAACGTGCCTGTAGCCATCTGGAGCTTGTGGTGTCAGCTGCTCAGAATCTCAGATGCCACCTGGCACAAAACAAAGCATCGGTTACACATCACCTCTTTCTCTTGGCCATGCCATCGCACGCCCCAGTATCTGCCTGTCTGTCTTATCACTCGTACCTGGGTATGCCAACGCGACGATGGAGACGCACAGACCAAGACACGCGATTCCAATAGACCCACTTACACGTCGCAATCGCCATAATGAACGACGACTTTGCTTGCGATGTCGAACCCAGGCCTAGCGAGACGCTGTAGTCGGCCGCAGTGTTAGAGAGACAGATAGCAACTCCTTGCCGCTCGACGAAAAGCACGTGAGACCACACCAGACTTGCTGACACGAACGTCATGTCCATGCTCGAAAGCATGGCGAACATCGCAACTAGTAGCCGAGCCCAGCGGATTGTTCGCGTTGGTCAGAAAGCAATAAGAGACGACTAGACACCAACACGGAGGTGTCTACCATCAGACTGAAATATGCAGTTGGCCAGGGTAATTCGACTCGGTTCGTGGTGTGAGAACCATGTCCGAAGATGCGGAGGATGGATCCCATTTGACTGATACAAAATTTTGCGTCGTCGTAAGCATTTCGAAATCGTGAGCCTAGGAGAGCCTCATTCAGAGAAGGAATATGCGAGATTACAGACATACGGTTGCAAAGTGCACACGTTTATAACGAACATGATCTTTATGGAGAAACGGCATTTCCTTCCAGACCGCCACTGAGCTCCCATGATCCTTCTCTTTGTTCTCGTCGTCTTTTGATTCACCCTGTTTCTACTGCCTACTGCTGGGGGTTTTGTAGAGTTACGCAGAGAGACGTGTGTTGCTTTCGCCAGACTAGTGTAGAAAGCGAGTGCGGCGTTAGTGAACTGCCTTGCGTGGCAGACGTGAATTTTTCGAGGTCGGCGCTGACGGTACAAGTCGAGCCTCACCAGGAAAGCACACAGGCTATTTCTTATATGCTACGAGAAAAATACGGATGCTCGGCGATGCTGTCGATTACGCGTACGTTGGTGTAACTGCTATCTATACCAAATCTCTATCAATTAAACCATAAACATGGGGCCTAGATGAGCGGCAGCCAGCTCGCGATCTCTATATTTAAGTTGGAGATCATCGCGAGTTCCATTTAAGCAACACCTGTTCAGATACTAAACCTCCTTTTGGTTTCTTGATCTGTGGTACCGCTAAACAAGGTTAATATCACGTCTGCCGTTGGAAATGTCCACATCGACACGCCATTTCATCCGACTTTCTAGATGAACAGCAGAATATGTGCCTTGTATTGAAACAGCATGCAGTGATGGTCGTGAGAGTCAATATACTAGCGCAACTCGATTCCCCGACATCTCCTGTAGTGTAGCTAGTGCGCTAACACGATATCGCGAAACACGTCAGATGCGTTTCGTCCTACAGACTAAGAAATGTTCCATGAGCATACAACATGTATGTACTCCACATCAATATCACCAATACGCCGATTTAGCATGTATCAAGACCCCATCTCAATAGTCACACGCTCTCCAATCCAATTCTGGTCTTCTACCATCAAACCTCCCTAGCCTCAGCTCCAGCTCGAACACCAACACCATCAACAGAAAAACAAACAAACAACCAATACACTCAACCCCCCTATCACCACACCACTTCCCAAACTATCCAACCACGTGCCGCAAACGACTCCAGGGCAGCGGTGCACTAACACTTAGCAACGAATCTAGAATACGCCCATCACACCAGCTAAATCTCGCAGCCGCGCTCCTCGTGACAACTTCCTCAGGGCCTTTTATCTAAACTTTACCCATCCGTCCCAAGTATATCCCTCACCTATCCCCAAGCTAACCTACCAACCTATCAACTCACGCCACCCAAGAAAGACTACAGGGCTACGAATCGGCATAGCTTCCCCCCACGAAACTAGCCTGCATCCAGTGATCTTAGTCAGACTAGCATCGAGTCGGAAGTCCGGGGGGGAAAGAGCCTAGCCTGGTACCTGAATGGTCACCATGGTCCCCGGAAAGCTGGACGCTGAGCTGAGCAGAGCTGACGAGGGGCCGGCCGCGGCGTGGTATTGGCGTGCGGGGTCAAGATAAACGATCTTATCTCGAGTTATCCAGCTCGGTACCATGCGAATATGCTCGGTACCATACTGATACCGATTTCGAAAAAAAGTTGCTTTTCAAGTCAAACTTCACACTGAGCAATAGTGGATGTGGATGACAATTTGAACAAAGATTGCGTAGATTCCATTCCTAGGATATGTCACTGCCCCCGAAGACTCCAAAGAGCCATCGAGGCGTGTAGATATAAGGTAAGAGAGAGAGAGAACAGAGCTCTCATCTTCTTCCAAGGAGAGAGAGAGAGGAGTATCGCATAACAGCGATAAAAAAAGGAAAAGACGACATCCAAGAAAGAAAGATCAATCGCAAACCACACACAACCCACGCCTAATCCTTTGGGGGCGGTGTTGTCGTCGTATAAATCCTCGTACAGTTGGAAAAGCAGAAACAAGACGAAAAGATAGAGAAGAGAGAGCAACACCGACGGAAAAGCGAATTCCAGCGCCCAATGACTGCGTAGAATCATCCCAGCGTCGTTCGTACAACAAACGACTACTACCAAACAAAGAGTAGTGGTTTGTGACAATGCGAAGAGGAACCCAAAAGATAACACCACCGATTGATGACTCCCACAACATGTACGCTCAGACACCGTCGCTTTCGCAAGATAGGCGCCCAACAAATGGTATATACCGACCGCTTGAAACCCGAGAGAGAGAGATAAGCCAACCGCACATAGGAAATCTACCCTTTGTAATGGCAAACGTCGACGAGACGCAGCCGGGCAACAAAGATACAGAAACACCGTTCTGTAACCAACAAGTTTTTCCAATAGGAATAGCCAGAAATGCGAGACCCAGAAACACCGTTATGTGCAAACCGCCGTTGATGCGTTAGCGCTTGTAAAGCAAGGACCAAAGCGCTCTATCCGGAAATGATGTGTTTTTCGCTATAATTGCAACGCCGTTGCCCCGTTCAAGTGGTATACCCAAGATGTCGAAGAAGATATCGTGATTTATACAGGGAGAGCCGGTGGATATCGAGAAGAAGAGGATTAGATCCAGGTAGCCACTAGCCTAGCAACACAGACGCCGCAATGTTGACCGAATAAAGACGCTCGGCCACGTGCCTGCAAGACTTTACCAGCGTCGCGACATGAACTGTTGCTGCATCTGTCGGTTGGGGGAGACAGAGGGAGGTGGGCTGGCAACAGCGCGTGTCGAGGGGTCGACGATGGGGATGGCATTGCGTGTGCGCTGGGCTAGCGGCTGGTGCAGCTTGGTTTGCGAGTTGTTCTGTTGGAATCCGACGGGGGTGTACGGGTTGGGAGCCGAGGACAGGACAAACGAGGGGGTGGGCTGCAGCTGGTGCTGAAGCGGCGACTGTTCAGGCGAGCCGCTCGATAGCGACGAGCGGTCTGAGCCGGACGAGTGGATGGATTGCAACTGTTCATCGAGTGTCAGCGCCAGTTCAGGCGGAGTCGACGACATGGGCGGGTGGCAAATAATGGCGACTTACATCATCCTCGGTGAGCAGGTGGAAGGGGCAGAACATCTCGTCGTCCTCGATGTCGAATGAGCGGGCGGCCTCGAAGTCGCGCTTGTATGCGATGAGGGTGGGGGGCTCGACGTTGAACTCCTTGGGGG